CCACAGAGATCCTGCAGTGCCAGTCGCTTCCGAAGAGGATACAGCTACTGCGCAAGTTCATAAAGATTGCAGCCTTGTGAGTGTATATGTGTTTGGGTAGGGTACAAGCTGAAACCGCTTATGAACGTGACAAAAATGAATTATTCAGGAATCATCATGGCACTGAACTGCGTCAGAACTGTGAACGTGATAACATATGACCACCCACATGTATCAACACCTGTTCAGTATTCTGGCTCTCGGAGGGGGTGGGTAGCCACTCATAATAGTGTTCATTTGCATATAGTTTTAATTGTCCACTCGCAGAAAGCACCTGTTTAATTCTGAGGCTCAGAAAGATGGCAAAAAAGAGTCATGTAAGATTAAATTAATCTGTTTGTGGTGGAAGAAACCTTGAATAACATCAAAAGTGGACTTGAGGGGGGAAAAATTCTGTGCTTTTTTATTAACATTTTATTCACATTCCAATGTTATTTTACTGTTATAGTACTTATTAATATTTTTAATTAGTTTTTTTTTTTATATATCAGGTTTCAAGTTTTGGTCATTTTATGTGCTTTTGTTGAAATATATATTTGTTTAGTTTCAGTTTTAGTTTTTTTTATGTCAAAGTTTTGAAAGGCTTTATCTCATACTTTTATTGCTTCATTTCTAAATGAATACTTTACTTCACCTGAAATTTGCTGTTAATTTACTGACATTCATGTCATCCAAGATTCATAAAATTCAACTTAATGGGTTCCGTCACTTTGAAAGTAAAAAAAGCAGGTACAGGGCACACAAAATGAATCAAATAATGTTCAGTTTCCTGCACAGACCAATTATTTTGCTTCATAAGACCTCAATATATCGGCAGGAGCTATTTGTGCTTCATGTTCCTGCTTTTTTGACTCTCAAAGTGACTGAACCCATTGACTTGCATTTTATGAATCACCAAGGACCACATGTTCAGCTAAAAATCTTCTGTACTGTTCTACTGAAGAATAAAAGTCACTTACATCCAGTGGTGGATGAAGTACTTGAAAGCCACACTTAAGTAAAATTACAGCTATCTTACCAGAAAATGACTTTGGTTGAAGTTACAGTCATTATTTAGAATATTACTTGAGTAAAAGTCTTAAAGTATGTGATAAGTTTTTTTTTTTTTTTTAAGTTAAGGTTTTTCATCTAATCTTTATTTTATTTCAGCTTTATTTCAATAGCCAAATACAGAGTTTTTAATAGGTTTAGAGAACAGTAACAAGACTATTGCGTTGTTTGTTAGGTTTGTGTGTGTAATGAGTGCTGTTGTTTGTATGTGTGTGTGTGTGTGTGTTTCAGATGTAAACAGCAGCAGGATCTGCTGTCGTTCCTGGCGCTGGTTCTGGGACTGGACAACCCTGCAGTCAGCCGCCTACGTCTGACCTGGGAAGTGAGTGCATTTGTTTGTTAATCTCCCTTTTTCCATGTTCTCTTTCTCTGTGTCGCACTCACACATAGTCTCTTAGCATCTCTGCCTACTCTCGTTCCTAAGAACCGCCAAGTGTTATTCTTGGCAGGAGGCTATTAGCAGTTGTCATGACAACGGCTCTGAATTAGCTTGTGCTGTTCCAAAGGAAATATTTCCATGTCCACCTGTGCATTTATTGTCAGATTATGCCTTTTTATTTTTAAATAAATCATAAACGTGTTGTTGTTTACATGCATCCAATTCCTAATGGAGTTTTAATTTGCATGGGCAATGTGTGATTTGCTAATTGCGTTTGTGTGTGTGTGTGTGTGTGTTTTGGCAGGGGTTGCCAGGAAAGTTCCGGAAGCAGTTTCAGCAATTTGAGAGCACTGCGGTAAGTGAAGAAAAATCCCAAATGCAATTTAATATCTGAATTGTTTCTCCTAGACAGCAGTGATATTAAATGGAGAGCAAGCGGAGACCTTTGCTTAGGTCTCCTGCTTCTCAGATGCTTGTCTTTAGAGAAAGTCTCAATACCATCTCAAAAATGTCTTAAACTGTGCTCAGATTTGCAAAGACCATAAGTTGGAGAACTCGGTATGAATTAAAGATTTCTTATCAGATTCTTCCATGATCATGTATTATCTGGACTATGAAATCAATGTTAATTTTTTAACTCTATACTCTAATTGTATGTCAGCAATTGTCCCATTTGTGTCTATTTTTATTTCTACTCGACACTTTTAGAAATAAGTACTTTTATTTCTTTATTTCTAAATGAATAAGTTAGTTCATCCAAAAATGAAAATTTGCCGTTAATTTACTGACCTTCATGTCATTCAAGATTCCTAAAATACAAGACAATGGGTTCCATCACTTTGAAAGTAAAAAAGCAAACAAAACAAAATTGTACAGGACACACAAAATGAATCAAATAATGTTCAGTTTCCTGCACAGACTGATTATTTTGCTTCATAAGACCTCAATATATCGCCAGGAGCTATTTTGTGCTTCCTGTTCCTGCTTTTTTGACTCTCAAAGTGACGGAACCCATTGACTTGCATTTTATGAATCACTAAGGACCACAGGTTCAGGTAAAAATCTTCTGTACTGTTCTACTGAAGAATAAGTCACTTACATCTTGGATAGCCTGAGGGTGAGCAAATTTACAGCAAATGTTCATTTTCGGGTGAACCATTCCTTTAATAATTGAATGCAGTGTAACTGAGAACTCCATTAAGTCTCTTGATCTCTGAAAGAACCTCTGAGCAATAAAATTTGTCACTCTGCAGGCTGATTTGACATTAATAGACAGCATCCGTAATGATGATGTTGTTTGTGTTGATGCAGGACCCTTCGAGGAATCACAAGTCATACAGAGACCTTCTAGCAAGCCTGAGAGCCCCACTCATACCCTTCACTCCACTGCTGCTAAAGGGTGAGTCCCTCACACACACACACACACACACACACATTCACGTTACAGCAGCACCAGTGTGCTCTCAATCTCTTCCTCCAGCTGTTGTCCATATGTGTTCTTATAAAGTCCCCTCCTGCCGTGACTGCCTCTGTGATTTGAAGTCGGTCTGAAAGGCCCCGCCTCATTAATTAACGCCCCTCTGATCTGCAGCTCCTGAACATGCTGGATTTCAGACCCCCTGCAGCCAAACATGCACCAGGGATCAACATGCGTGCATGTACATTAGTGATGCACACAAACACGTGTGCATTTTGTATTATGGCGTTTTTTTGTTTTTTTTTACTGAGCCAATGATATTTTCTATCCTCTAACCCTAAACTTAACCTTTAACCCCAGAATTTCTGCATGCCGTTAAGACATAATTTAATCTCTTTATGGGTTTCCTTGTGGACTTCTGTGAATTTCTTTCGTTATGCTTGAGGGGATATTTGGTCCCCATGATGAAAGCAAAACCTGACCCACTCTTTGTTATATATATATATACTTTTATTTTTATATATACACTGAACAAAATTATAAATGCAACACTTTTGTTTTTGCCCCCATTTTTCATGAGCTAAACCGAAAGATCCAAGACCTTTTCTATGTAAACAAAATGCCTATTTATAACACCTCACAGGTGTGGCATATCAAGATGCTGATTACCTCTCATGTTACCTGCCTCTCTCTCTCTCTTTTTCACCAGACCTGTCCCAGGCACAGACAGATCACCCATCACGATGTGATGACTGTTCACTTCTCCTTCTCACTCTCTCTATTTCTCTTTTCTTGCGTGTGAACGTCAAGCTTCAGACAGATCACCCATCACGATGTGATGACTGTTCACTTCTCCTCCTCACTCTCTCTATTTCTCTTTTCTTGCGTGTGAACGTCAAGCTTCAGTTCAGCTCAGCCAGAAAGAAGACGCCTGGTTGAGCGAGTGATGGCATGATGACATGTCATTACATAACTGTTCCCTTTATTGTGCATTCACTCTCTCACTCTCTCTCTGCAGATCTGACCTTCCTCCATGAGAGCTGTAAGACTTTCCATGGGGAGCTGGTTAATTTTGAAAAGATGGTGAGTTGGCATATATAATGGAAGTAATGATGCGCTTACATTAATGCACACACATATTTATGTAGATACTGAAATGAGGACATACCATAGACTTCTGTTGTGCTTAAAAAGGCTAATTATAATTTCTACAGACTAGCATTAACCTTAATCCTTCCTCTAAATAGGAACTTAAAAAAAAAAACATTATTTGCTCTATTTAAGAATAGGGTAAACATTGAGAATAGGAATTAGTTCAAATTTTTTTTAAAATTGTAACCAATCTATTTCCATGTTGTTTTCCTTAATGATTCCACATTGCAGTCAGAACAGCATTATAAAGTATTTGCTTCCATTGTCCTCATTTGTAAGTGGCTTTGGATAAAAGCATCTGCTAAATGACTAAATGTAAATGTATTAGGACCCCCTATACTTTTTGTTGTGACAACACGCATGCATCTTAATTTTTGTCAGCTGTGCATGAAATGAATAATCAACTTTCAAGCATGTTTAATTGTTTCCCACTGTTTATAATATCTGTGTAAAAATATATTATATATCCACTACTGTTCAAATGTTTGGGGCTAGTAAGATTTTTTTTAAAAGAAATCAATCAAAAGCGACAATAAAGACGTATAATGTTACTAAAGATTTCTTTATTATTTTATAATATATTACAATAGAAAACAGCTATTTTTAAATTGTAAAAAGATTTCACATTATTACTGTTTTTAGTGTATTTTTGATCAAATGAATGCAGCTTTAGTCTTTTGTTCTTAAAATTTCACAACAGCTTGATGAGGGTGTAATGAATGCAGTAAGAATTGTTTTCTTTGTGCATTCCTTTTCCCTCAAATGGACTCTGAGACTTTGATTAATACGCAATATCCTGTACAGCTAATAAGTGCCACAGGTACATTATTTTGTGGCTGCGTACCATTCACTGAATGACTGTCAATCAAATCTCTCTCTTTTTTTTCTGTAGCACAAAGTGGCTGAGATGGTGCGAAGCATCAGGCGGTATAGGAGCACTCCGCTAGGTATGTGTATTCCTACACACACAGACAGACAGACATCGGCCTGTCAAATAGGATTAGTGCAAAAGTAGAGCATGTCTCCACCTGCCAACATAACAACATACCTACATGAACCCTCACACACACTCACACACCTGTCTGAGTGGATTAGTTCTAGGAGACTGCTGCTCCACCCTGCCACAGCCCATCTGTTTGGGACAGCACAGCCCACGGGGCCACGAGCCACAGGGCACGGCTTCATAACACACACACACATGCCCACAGCGTGTGTGTACACTAACACATGCAACAGCTGGGCAGTGCTTCAAAACATTTATGCTCACAGACAAACTATAAAATTTGTGGTTGTACATGTGTTTGCTTGTGCATAATGCGTAATAACATTCATTATAAAGTGCAACGGTCGCGTTCAGTGTGAAAACTTCTCAATAGGGAAATCGATTTTTAACAATAACTTTTAAAGACTGACCTGTTGTGAGCTCTGAGGGTGTTAACTGATGGTATATACTTGTTAAAGCCACTTGTTTTGCATTATTTCAACTTTTTAAAATCATGTTTAACAGCAGGATTTGTGGTGAGAAACCACATTACCCATGATGCTGTGCATAAAATTCCACCAATCAGAGAGTTGCGGCCAGCAAATCACACCAAAGGAGCTTGGTCTCCTGTGCACTCAAAATACTGAAATAAATGATGGTTTCTATAGATAAGATCAACAGATTTCAATGAGTAGTTTTATATTTCACCATCGTTTTTAATTCGATTGTCATTCATAATGCTTCATGGGATTGTAGTTCTAAGTACACAGTCTTGTACCTTTTTGTCAAATAAAAGTTTGCAATGTTGTGATTCACCTCGTAGCTGTTCATAATGCTTTGTTAAAGTCCCTATGGAAAAAAAATATTTGAAAAAATACTTCTGAATCAACGCTGCTGAAAAGAATGGATGGTCATTAATGCACTGTGTTGGTCTTGATGCGGTCACTGGGTGTTCGAAATATGGACTAGGTGTCTTTTGAGCAGTTTTTTTCTGCAGCTTAGATTAGCGGAATATCAGTTTCTGTTTTGTAATTATTTTTGGGGTTTCACCGCTTTGGAATCTTGACTCCCTAGATTCAAATCTCAATCACACAAACAAAACAATGCTTCCATGGTAACCGTGATGTTCCGTGAGGTAGAAAAGCACCCACACAGCCTTCCGTTTGTCTTCTGCATCATCTGGCGAGTCTTTAAAGAGTGTCTGCACCATCACACCCTGCAGAGAATATTTGAAAAAATACTTCTGAATCAACGCTGCTGAAAAGAATGGATGGTCATTAATGCACTGTGTTGGTCTTGATTCGGTCACTGGGTGTTCGAAATATGGACTAGGTGTCTTTTGAGCAGTTTTTTTCTGCAGCTTAGATTAGCGGAATATCAGTTTCTGTTTTGTAATTATTTTTGGGGTTTCACCGCTTTGGAATCTTGACTCCCTAGATTCAAATCTCAATCACACAAACAAAACAATGCTTCCATGGTAACCGTGATGTTCCGTGAGGTAGAAAAGCACCCACACAGCCTTCCGTTTGTCTTCTGCATCATCTGGCGAGTCTTTAAAGAGTGTCTGCACCATCACACCCTGCAGAGAAGATTTCCTTCCTCTCCATGCAGCTGTTTGTTTTGAGGTTGTCATGTATAATTTTATCATGATCATTTGAAACCTCCGTTTCTGCGATCATCAAGTGGTAAACACAATTTACGATTTATTATTTAAAAATAGATTTTTGGATTGACACTTTTCTATAAAAGGTTTTCATCAATGGTTGAATTTTTATAACCGTAGTGAATAATAAAAAAAAATGAATGACAGCCATCTATCCATAATCTATCCTTTTTTAGTTTCTTAAAAAAACGTATTATCCTTTTTAACTCAATAGACAAACTCTGACAGGAGAAAATAAAAAATCTAGTTAGAAAAATCAAATATAGATGAGTATTCTTGCCAGCCTTAAAATACAGATTTGAGGTGGGAAAAAAAATAAATTGATACCTTTTATTTTGCTTCCCATTCATGTGTATATAGGAGCTGTGCTTTTATACACTATTGATGAACAGTTTTGGGACGGTAAGGTTTTTATTTATTTTTAAGGAAATTAATACTTTAATTCAACAAGGATGCATTGAATTGATAACAAATGGCATTTTAACATTGTTATTAGTAGATGTTTACAGTACATGGTTACAAAAATATTTCAAATAAATGCTGTTTTTATTCATCAAAGAATCCTGAAAATCCTGAAAACTAAAGAAAAATGTAACAGTTTCCACAACAATATTAAAAATAGAATTATTGGTAATAATAAGAAATGTTTCTTTAGCACTAAATCAGCACATTGAGCCCCGTTTCCACCGCAGGAACCAGGATCTAAATAAAGTTCCGGGTAAAAAATTGCCCCTCAGAGAGTCCCTGCTCGCGAGGTAGTACTTTTTCAAAGGTCCGGAACTTTTGGGGGCGGGACTTGGGCGCTAAACATGCTGATTGGTTGAGTTCACGCAGCACTGTATTTCAACCACCATTTATGCGGATAATTTTCAAAATATTACTGTTAGTGTTATTGTGTCATGAAATGTAGTTTTAAAAGTATTTCAGGCGAGAATGTAGTTGTTTAAAACTCAAATCTGTGGTTCGTTTATAAAGACAGCGCCCATTTAAAAATGTGTTTCGCCAATTTCGGAGACGTGATCTCCACGCTATCACCGGGAGCTCAATGCTCATGTTTCTCGACGAGAGCAGCTTCAACTCGGCTAGTCCTTCTGACATTTGCCGCTGGCTCTGATGTCTCTTTAGTGGTGTGTTGTGTTCAGAACCCTATCACACTTACGATGTTACAGAGCAAAAATGACCCGGCCTCAAAAAAATTGCTTATAAATCACTCATTATGCTATATTATCACCAAATATTGGATTCAATCTTTTTGTCAACTTTTCTTTAATTTAGGACTGGTTTTGTATTTATATTTGCATCTGATTAATTGTAGGCCTCATTTATCTGAGACTAGGCACCTCATTTTTTGAGTGAAAAAAGCATTTTTTTATGAATAATTTTTACAATATTAAATAAAAACTGAAGAAAAATTGCACTGTTTATCACACTAGTGTGCTTTAATGTTTAATTGGGGAGTTTGTTTTGAAAGGCTTTTATGTTGTACAAAATGGCACAAAGTCACACTTGTGGTGTTCCCGGGTCAAAAATGACCCGGCCTCAAAAAAATGCTTAAAATGAGGTGCCTACTCTCAGATAAATGAGGCCTACGATTAATTAGAAGCAAAAATAAATACAAAACCAGTCCTTAATGAAAGATAATAATTTGACAAAAGATTGAATCTAATATTTGGTGATAATATAGCATAATGAGTGATTTGTAAGCATTTTTTTGAGGCCGGGTCATTTTTGCGTGGAACACCACAAGTGTGACTTTGTGCCATTTTGTACAAAATAAAAGCATTTAAAAGCAAACTCTCTGATTAAACATTAAAGTACACTAGTGTGATAAACTGCAAATTTTCTTCAGTTTTTATTTAATATTGTGAAAATGATTCATAAATAATGCTTTTTTCACTCCAAAAATGAGGTGCCTAGTCTCAGATAAATGAGGCCTACGATTAATCAGAAGCAAATGTAAATACAAAACCAGTCCTAAATGAAAGATAAGAAGTTGACAAAAACATTGAATCCAATCTTTGTTGATGATATAGCATAATGAGTGATTTATAAGCAATTTTTTGAGGCCGGGTCATTTTTGCCCTGGAACATCACAAGTGTAACAAGGTGAAAAATCTCCCCCAGAAAAGTATGAAAATGATTAAAAAATTTTTTTTAGAAGTAGTTATACCCTTTGTGAACAAAGTCAGAAAATTTCAGTCCAATGCGATAACATTAACTAGTATTTTCGGGAAAAATAAAAAAAATTTCAGTGCAAAAAGGACCCGAACACCTCATGAGGGTTAAACATAAGATATAATTCGTTTTGGGTAAATCTAACAGGTTATCTTTGGTCTTTATTCTGTTAATCTATTAATATGTTAAAATGAAAATAAAAAGAGGCAATACTGTTTGATATAATATTTTAGTTTCATTTCTGCGGCTATTAATATGTTTAAATGAAAACTAAATGAGGCAGTGGTGTTTGATATCATATTTCGTCTTATTGTAAATACAGTGAGGAAAATTGCAGTAGCCAAGGCGAGCTGACTGATGTTATCAAGTGCACTGCTGTTTGCAGAATTACCGGACTTGCGTCGTCCCGTCCGCAGGAGTTCACACTCCCGAGTCGAGCTCCCGAAGTCCGAACTACCGAGGATGCAAGTCTGAAATTGGCATACCTGGTATTGAGAAATGCGCGCAGACCTACGCCCCCAGACTATTTGCCTATTCTTCACGGTACTTTAGACCGGGATGGAAACGCAGACAGCAACAGGTCTGGGGGAAAAAAAGTTCCTGGGACACATTGTTCCAGGTAACCTCGGTGGAAAAGTGGCTTTAGAATTATTTCTGAAGGGTCATGTGACTCTGAAGACCGAAAATTTGTCATCACAGTGATAAATGACATTTTAAAATAAGCTGAAATAGAAAACAACGTTTTAAAATTTGTGATAATATTTTATAACATTACAGTATTTTTAATTAAAGTAATGCGGCCTTGGTGAGAATAAGAGACTTCTTTCAAAAACATCAAAAGAATCTTACTGACCTCGAACTTTTGAATGAAAGTATATTTATTACCAACCATATTATTGGTATTATCAAACCATTTAGATTTATTACCATAAGAGGTGTTTCTTTGTAGCAACTTGCCTTAAATGGGCTTTGTTAATATTCCACCATATTTTAGCAGCACTATAACCGAGTCAGCCTCATTTTATAGTATGAATCACTAAGAAAAGAACCCCTTTGGGCTATTATTTTAGTATGATTATTTTCTTCTCTTGTCTCCAGTTAGTCAGTCTGTTGAAGTCGAGCAGCAGGTCTCGTGCGTCAGGCCACTTATTTTCCTGTCTGTGGTTCTGAATGAGGGCTGTAATTATCAGGGCTCATTCTCCCTCCATATACCTGAGTGGATTGCCCTCATCTATTTCCATTAGAGGGACTGATGCCCAGCCAAGCGCACAGCACTTTTTCACTCTGGTGTGAAGAAGTGGCCTTTTTTTAGAACAATTCGTTTTTCTCTATGCTCGGCAAAGAATCATCCATCGTCTTTATCATTGCACATAAAAAAACACTAATATTTATGTTGAATGTTTGTCGTTCGATTCATGCCGGTGTAGCGTGACGCTCCATCTGTCGCCCACCGAACCGGATCCCATTTGCAATGACATTTCTATACGGTGGCTGAGGCTTATTTGGTGACGTGTCGAGGCCAGAGGGCATCAATTTCAATAGACACATTGCAGCCATTGACATTTGTAAGAGCATGCAGAACTCCATTTCCCTTACAGCGGGTCTGAACTTTGGGGGAGCAGCTCGGATGCGAGACTTAATGACTCTGTAATTGTCTCTAATGCGCTCCTGCTGTCAAAGCGTCAAAGGAACTCGGATCAGTTCTGTGATCTCTTTTTATTGTTAGAAAAGAAAAATCACAGAGGAAATTAATTCCGTTTCCAGTGTTGCTCCAAGACGGTAATGAGACGCTCATGCAAATGGTCACATTTCAGCTTGAAGTTCTTTATAAAATTGTCTATGACTGAATGATCTGGGATCTGGGGTCCACATTTTGTTCTTGTTATTCTAGGCTATTTTAGGAAATATCTGAGAAAAAGTTGCGTAAATGAAACATGACTCCATTCAATCTTCTGAGATATGAGAGAGTATTGCAAAATGTCATCTTTGTTAATCAATGTCTTTGTCTGGTTTTGTTACAAAACATCCTCAACACAAGATGAATGTACACTACGGTTTAAAGTTTGGGGTCGATATGATTTTTACAAAATGTTTTTGAGAGAAAACTCTCATAAGGCTGCATTTAAAAAAAATAAAAATACAGTAAAACCGTAATATTCTGAAATGTTTTTACAATTTAAAATAGCAAAGCTGAATTTTCAGCATCATTACGCCAGTCTTCAGTCACATGATCCTTCAGAAATCATTCTAATATACTGATTTGCTGCTCAAGGAACATTTTTGTATTATCATCACTGTTGAAAACAGTTGTGCTGCTTAGTATTTTGGTGGAAACTTTGTTAAAAAAAAAATGTCAGGATTTGTAATGAACAGAAAAAGCTTAAGAACAGCATTTATTTGAAATCGATATTTTTGAAATGATTTTAGCAGCATAGGTTTGCACTGCAGTATATGAGTGGGTGCAGTAGCTTGAGTGACCGCTGAATCTGATGCAGAGGCGGAGTGACAGTTTGTTTTCTTGAGATCAGAGAGGACAATGTGCAGCTATTCATAGCTACCGAAACAGCTGTTTTCCTTCCTCCTCCTCTCTCTCTTGCTCTCTGCTTGCAGTTTTATCTACTCACTGTCTTTTTGAAAAGTGTGGCTTAGTAAGGGATGCTGTGTGTGTAAAGTCAGGTCAGCTGGACATGAGTGGTGAGCACATGTCTGCTGGTATCCCAGCTCTGCCACGCCACCATGTGGTCAGCCTCAGTGTCTCCTCAATCAACACAACACTACACTTACTCATCTGCTGTTTACAGTAGTTACAGTAGTTGGAGGATGCTGTAAACTTTAAATAAATAGTTGTAAATAATTTATTTTGTAATAATAGTTGCATTTACACTACCGGTTTGGAATAATTAAAAATGTTTAATGTTTTTCAAAGAAGTCTTTTATGCTTATCCAGGCTGCATTTATTGACCAGAAATACAGCAAATACAGTAATATTGTGAAATAGTATTACAATTTAAAATAATGTTTTTTTTCTATTTTAATATAAATTAAAAAATATATTCCACAAGGACAAAATACATTTAAAGACATTTGAAATGCTAAAAATATTAATATGTGACTCTGGACCACAAAACCAGTCATAAGTAGCACATATATATTTGTAGCAATAGCCAACAATACATTGTATGGGTCAAAATTATCGATTTTTCTTTAATTAAAAGTAAAGTTTATTAAGTAAAGATCATGTTCCATGAAGATATTTTGTAAATTTCCTACTGTAAATATATCAACTTATTTTTGGATTAGTAATATGCATGGCTAAGAACTTCATTTGGACAACTTTAAAGGCGATTTTCTCAATATTTAGATTTTTCTGCACCCTCAGATTCCAGATTTTCAAATAGTTGTATCTCGGCCAAATATTGTCCTATCCTAACAAACCATACACCAATGGAAAACTTATTTATTCATAAATCAAACCCTTATGACTTTTTTTGATTCAGTGTCACATATTTCAAAACTTTTCTGTTCATTTAAAGAATCCTGAAAAAATGCATCATGATTTTCACAAAATAAAAAAAATAAAAATATTTTCAACATTGATAATAATAAGAACCATTATTAACAATTGAGTACCAATAATTATTGATAATAATTGAGCATCAAATCAGCGTATTAGAATGATTTCTGAAGGATCATGTGACACTGAAGACTGGAGTAATGATGCTGAAAATTCAGCTTTGCATCACAGGAAGAAATTACATTTAAAAACATATTATTAAAAATGATAAATTGTATTAATATTTTACAATATTACTGTTTTTACTGCATTTTTAATCAAATAAATGCTAGCTTTGTTGAGCATAAGAATCCTAATCATTCCTAATCATCAGTTTTGTATTCTAAATGTGTACTATAAATATTACATACATTTCTTTATAAAAAGTGTTTGAAATGAAAATTTCAGATTGTGTAACTTCTGTGTTTCTTTGGATTTCTTTCTTTCAGTGGCGTTAATTGATTTCTTTTGCTCTTTCGGTCTTTCTCACAGCAATGGAGGCCGAGCCGTCCCCCTCTCACCTCCAGACGAAAGCGTATGTGCGGCAACTGCAGGTCATCGACAATCAGAACCTGCTTTTTGAGATGTCCAGCAAACTGGAGCCAAAAGACATGTGAAGGGACCAAGCGCACCTACAAGCCATATCTACAAAACCTCTTGTTCCCGCCAATAAACCCACACACCCAACCCTTCATGCTCGATTGTCGCAGATCAACCCAGCTGGACTGTCAATCATCTCAGGCTCTGCCTCCAAATCATCAAACGAGGACATTTGTTCACGAAAATGGTGTGAATTGTGTTTTGAGTGATTCTGTGTCAATGTTAATTATGACCACGCATAGTGGTCTGGATTCATTTCTACTTTTTATTTTTCTCGCTGTTCAAGACTGAAGGGAAACCTGTCCTGATTGCACTGCCATCAATTGAACTGAACCAAACCGAGATAAGCTTAATCTGTACAACCTTCAGAAACACAGACTGCATTTTGGCCATTCATGACCCTAAAACACATGAGACAATCTGACCTCTTGAACTCTGACCTTTGGTCTTCCCTCCTCCCCTGCCAACATTGGCACTTACAGCAACCCTGTGCAATTGGTTGCAGTCATTAGATGTTAGTGTTCTGAACGATATGGATCCCCAGCCATCAAAAATGAGTCCCGAATCCAAGACCAGCTCCAGCGTACAGCATATTCTATAGTTAAAGGATGAAGTCATAGTAATACAGAAGAACTGCATGTTAAAGTGACTGTATAGGAACTTGTTTACTGCAAAAAATCAATTTATGGCAATAGTTCTGTCTTGTTCTTTTTCTTGAAACAAAATTACATAAAGTAATAATCCATTTAATAAATGTAATATATTTAATATATATGTTAAATATTAAATATACAAAACATTTAGTTAGATTTATGCTTAAAACAAGAAGAAATAGTGGAGTAAAAACAAAATATAGATGTATACTCTGAAAACAAGTCTTAAACGTTATTCAGATTAGGAATATTAATATATTCTTTAATTAAATGTATCTTGTTTTAATAATGTTTAGATAGGAAAAACAAGACAAAAATATTGCAAATTATTTTTTGTAGTGTAGAAACCAAATTGAACTTTGCTGTTAATTTATTAAAGATTAGTAAAAGACCAAAAAAAAAAATTTGACCAAATGCAGTATTTTATCATATATATATTTTTTAAACAGAACCACTTATTCAATGTAATATAGCGTTAATATGTGACCCTGGAGCACAAAAGCAGTCTTAAGTCGCTGGGGTATATTTGTAGCAATAGCCAAAAATACATTGTATGGGTCAAAATTATAGATTTTTCTTTTATGCCAAAAATCATTAGGATATTAAGTAAAGATCATGTTCCATAAAGATATTTTGTACATTTCCTACCGTAACAAACCATACATCAATGGAGAGTTTATTTATTCAGCAGATTATGTATAAATCTCAATTTCGAAAAATGGACCCTTATGACTGGTTTTGTGGGGCATTTGTAGACACTTTTTCCCCCTCCAATATAGATCTAAGCAAGTTGCTGCTTGTTTAACGACATTGGAACGTAACATCTTTAAACATGTTATTCTGTACTCATTTTATCATTAGATTTAAATACACCGTAGGACACCAAAAATAAAGAGGGACTAACTATTACACCAGCAAGTGAGGAGAAAAACACAGAGCTCTTTCCTGTACATGGAAGCAAATTCGTTTTCATTAAAGGCAGCAGCTAAGCTAAGCTAAAATGTGAAATTTAAAAGCGTTTCAAAGATTCAAAGTGTCCATTACCTCCATAATAACCCAGTTTGCTCGTTTCTACAGTGTGACGCACGGCTGAACGTGCCACCTCTGGACATCCATTCACAAGGTCGTTGTGTACTAACTAACTATTATTACACCAGCAAGTGAGGAGAAAAACACAGAGCTCTTTCCTGTACATGGAAGCAAATTCGTTTTCATTAAAGGCAGCAGCTAAGCTAAGCTAAAATGTGAAATTTAAAAGCGTTTCAAAGATTCAAAGTGTCCGTTACCTCCATAATAACCCAGTTTGCTCGTTTCTACAGTGTGACGCACGGCTGAACGTGCCACCTCTGGACATCCATACACAAGGTCGTTGTGTACTAGTCAGCACATCACATTTCAGCAAACAGAGGCTCACAGTAAACAGAACTATACACAGCAAATATGACCGTTTTGTTTGAATATCTTTGCTAATAAGGTCCTTGTCAACCCAGTGGGCTTCCTTAGTTATAGGTTTAAAGAGTCAACGAATTAAGAGCAGTACAACTGAGATAATAGTCAAATAATTAATGGAGCGAGAAAATCGTTTCACGAAATTCTGCAGCATCGTTTGAATCTCAGTGGTACCCCGTTGCTTTATCAACATTTTAACCAATGTAAAACAGAAAATGACTTGTAATAGTTTTAAAAAAAAAAACTAAAAGCTGAATGAAAATCACGTAAAATGAGAACGGTTTGTAAAAAGCTGAACAACACTTAAATACTTTAGGGAGGGAAATGGGAAGAACTCCAATACTCTTTACGGTTTCCAATACTGAGCCAGGAATAAGAGTTTTTTGTCATGCGAAAAAACTACTTGATTCTCTTTCATTAATATGGTTTGATGTAAGAGGCTCAACAGTGAGAATAGGACACAACTATCCGATTGAACTAAAGAAAATAATCTGCTGTTGCTTTATCAACATTTTAACCAATGTAAAACAGAAAATGACTTGTAATAGTTTAAAAAAAAAAACTAAAAGCTGAATGAAAATCACGTAAAATGAGAACGGTTTGTAAAAAGCTGAACAACACTTAAATACTTTAGGGAGGGAAATGGGAAGAACTCCAATACTCTTTACGGTTTTCAATACTGAGCCAGGAATAAGAGTTTTTTGTCATGCGAAAAAACTACGATCTCGAGACATGTTTTTTTTATTGGTTCTGTGTGAATGGCCCCCAAGAGTGGATTTACGAATATTTCACAGTTCAATTCTGCTCGTGTCCTATGAATGAGGCTTGGTATCTCTAACATGCTAACTTGGGGCCATCTGTGGATTTGAGTTGAAAAAGGTGACATATAATTGAAGTCTCAAATTCCTGTGTCAAAATTCCAGTTTTCCCAGGAGTACAATAAAAAACAAAAACACATTTAAGACAACATAACGAAGACAAAAGTGGCTTCTAACACCACAAACCAACTAAAGGGAGATTCCACATCATAGTATATGGCATGCTAATACTGAACCAATCCACGTCCATCAGACAGAGGAGGAATTAAGCAGAAAACTTTAGGTTTCTCCTGGACTCTCTGTAGTGCAATCTGAGTGCACTTACTGTGGCCCCCGGAGACCAATACGTTGGAGTAAACACACTACAAGTCTGCTTAAACAAAGAGGGCTGGTGAAAGCTTTTGGGTAGCAATAAAACAAGGCCATATTTCTGATTGATGCAGAAGTCTTACTCTGTCACGCCACAGAGTCAGACGACATTGCAGGGTTGACCGAGGCACACTGCACCAACTAACCACAAGCACTGGAGTTAAAGCACAACCTGTGAAGAAACCTCACCCATAAGCCCCTATTCATTCTACTTCCATTAGCACGTCTTTTACACAGAAAGCAAACATGAGAAGCCCCTGAATGCTAACTCTAAATGTCAAGATTACACTTTTCACACCCTGTTTTCCAATTTAGTCCTAAAAAACTATCTTTTGCCATGCAAAAATGGATCATTTTCACTGTATTATTTGCCTAGATGTGAAAAGTAAAGCCCTTACCCCTTCTCCTCCCCCCAGTACATTGCTTAAGCGGTTTTAATATTTAAATATATGCCAGAATATATACAAACAGTCCTCTTGTCAGTCACTGCTATACAGACCGCCTCCCGCTCCCATCCTACACATATTAAGGGTGCGTGTGGGCATCCGTGCCGTCTTTGTCCGGCAACCGCTTCGCTCTTCTCCTGCAAGCATGTGAGTGAACGTTTATTAACGAAGAGGTTCTACATTCCTGCCGAGAGCAGAGAGGCTCATAATACCTTTAAGGGCGCTTAAAAAGAAATGGAGAACATGACTGAATGACTATAAAAAGGGCCTCCTGATGGCTAGACGTCCCTCAGGCGTCTGGTACAGTGTGTGTTGTCCCCTCTTTGTCCCCGGTAACATCCCCTCAGCATGTTTCCTGTAGTTCATCAGGCTCTTCAGGTCATGGAGGGAAAATGTGGTCGGAGGGTAGAGTGGGCGGAGTTCAAGGCGTTTCTGTCGTTCTCTCCGTCATTTCCACAGAGGAAGGTTTACGACGGCTCCAAGCTCTTCAGAGCGCCAACCTTTGACTCCAAGTCAGTAATCTGAGATGGAAACAGAGGGAAGTTCAGGCCAGTATATACACTTAATATTAACATTTTTATATATGTGGCAAATGCTTTTATCTTTAAATGCATACATTACTGTTCAAAAGTTTGGGGCTGTCACTTTCCAGGATTGTTTTTTGAATATTCCAGGGATTTTTTGGAAAGTTTCCGGAAACTTACCGGAAATTTTCCACCCCTTTGCAACCCTCATGTTCACTTCAAGATCAAGTTTATTTCTAAAGCACAATTTTAAACAACTAAAAGTTGACCAAAGTGCTGTACTGCTGACAACTATAACACAATTTAAATCAAACACATTTTACTTGAAGGAGATTGCATGAAACTCTACAATACATTAAAAGCCATGAAAAACAAGTTTTAGATTTAAGATCAGAAAGTGTTTGAACACTTGAGGCTGTTCCACAATTTTGGTACATCTACTGAAAAAGCCGGATCAATTCTCAGTTTTATTCTTGCCCTAAGGACAGTCAACAACCTCTGATCTGAAGATCTGAGGGATCTCGATGGATTATGCACAGACAGAAACCTCGATATGTAAGTAGGCACCTGTCTGTTAACTCTGTTTAAAGATTTAAAAACAAATAAAATAATCTACCACTAATACACATAATATAAAACTAGTATTTGCATTCACCCTCGTGGATCACACAGTGTGTAGGGATGTAACGATGAACCCCGAGCCGGTTGAAAATCAATACAAATATAAGACATTGAATGAATCGTGACACAACTGGGGGTGGGACTGTAAGTTTATATGAATGGATCTCTGAGGGGAACTGACTGTCTTTCGATGGTATTTTCTTTTTATCTTGCCTCTGTATAATGCATATTAAAATAGTGCTCATAACTGCAGCACTGCGTTGTTTACAGCAGCTACCAAGGAAACGCTGTATCACTGCTGTTCATACGCGCCACCTGCTGGCAGAGAGTCAATTTGCGTCTCATTCAGCTTGTCTGCTGTTTTTGTTTCGTTCAGTATAGTTTCACAAAACTTAAGTCAGACCATTCTGTTTTTGCTTCAAATTTCGAAATTATACAATCCAATTTAGATTAAAATCTGCTCATGCTGCATGTATGCAGCATCTTTGTTTGGATCATGATGAAAATATAGTGGTGGTTGCCTCTAATTTTAAATTGAAAGAGCACAGACAAAGTCTTAGTTTTATTTATATAAAGAGATTTCTTTCATTTCTGTTATTCATTTGATTTTGTTTTAAAATTACAATTTAGTTTTGTTATATTTCAATCTCACAAAGAAATGTTCAGCAATTTTGTCTAAGAAATAATAAAAGGACACATTTTCATTTCTAATGAAAATCTCTTGAATCTCATTTTCTTAAAAAACTAAATCGTATCGTGAAATCAGTTTTGTGAATTGTATTGCATCGTGACTTGAGTGAATCGTTACAGTTTATATAAAGAGATTTCTTTCATTTCTGTTATTCATTTGATTTTGTTTTAAAATTGCAATTTAGTTTTGTTATATTTCAATCTCACAAAGAAATGTTCAGCAATTTTGTCTAAGAAATAATAAAAGGACACATTTTCATTTCTAATGAAAATCTCTTGAATCTCATTTTCTTAAAAAACTAAATCGTATCGTGAAATCAGTTTTGTGAATTGTATTGCATCGTGACTTGAGTGAATCGTTACATCCCTAAGAGTGTGTGAGCGAATAAGAGTAAACTGTTTCTGGAAATACTGGTTTCCAAACGCACCTTCTCCTGGAGATTTTCTGTCTCCACCTTGTGGCTGGCCTCTGACTCCTCTTGTGCTCTGCGCTGGGCCGTCTCCTTCTTCAAATACTCAATCTCTCTGCATTAAGACACACAGATATGCACAACATGCTTTAAATCCTTTCGCTAGGTCACATGAAGGAGTTTTATCTAATACCTTCAATCACAAACCCCACAAACATGCTTATTTTGTTATGTGATCCTGATTTAAGTCATTATATTGAGTCTGACTTGTTAATATCCTCAATCCCCTGCACTCACTTCTGCTGGTACTCTTTGATGAGGCGTTTGGCTTTGCTGTACTTGCGCTCCAGCGCCTGGTACTGCGTCTGCGTCTCTTTCAGGTGCTCATCCACCGCCTGGCACAAGCTCTGAGCCTCCATCCAATAGCCCTCCAACTTCTCCATCCGCTCCTTATTCTCTCTCACCGTCTGCTCCAACTGAGCCCTCTCCATCCGCCAGCGCAGCTTATCCTGCTCAGCGTGAGCCAGCTAGAGAGAGACGAAGAGATCGTCACAAGGGTAAATAAAGGTTGTTTAACGATCTCTGAAACCTTACATTTAAAGCAAGCAAACAAAATGCATACCTTCCTCTTGAGCTGCTGGATCTCAGCCTGGGTCACAGCATGTTTTATCTGGAGCTGGAGACACAGATGGATGTAGAGAGATGTAAATTTTTCTTGATTATTGAGTACATACATACAGATAAATACCTACAAACCAATTCGAATGGAATTTAAATAATATTTTATTTATTTAGGGAATTTTAAGACTTAATTTTAGGGACCATAATTATATAAGCAATTATTATTATTATTTTCTTTTCCAATACTACAAATAAATCAATGCATGGGAAACACTGGTAATGTATATTATCGAAATATCGGAAATGTGTTTAAAAATCATATCACCGTTATTGAAAAAAATTATATCGCGATACATATTGATATTGAATTATTGTTTAGCCCTAGTCGAATGGAATTTAAATAATATTTTATTTATTTAGGGAATTTTAAGACTTAATTTTAGGGACCATAATTATATAAGCAATTATTATTATTATTTTCTTTTCCAATACTACAAATAAATCAATGCATGGGAAACACTGGTAATGTATATTATCGAAATATCGGAAATGTGTTTAAAAATCATATCACCGTTATTGAAAAAAATTATATCGCGATACATATTGATATTGAATTATTGTTCAGCCCTAGTATATAAATAAATATATATATATATATATATACACATACATACACACACACACACACACACACACATATAGTATGTTTCTTTTTCAAACACTAAACAGAGATCTATCTGTTCATAACATTTTGGCATGTGAATTTAATTAAAATTCTACAATGTAGCATATAATTCTAGACTTGAGATATAGGGCGGATGATTTTATTTTTTAAATTAACAAACAAAACAGCAGATTTATAATACCTACACTAAAAAAAATGGTGCAGAAACAATTTCCATTCAGAAAAAGCTAGTAATTTTCACAAACAATTAGAAAGAAAAAGAAAGTAACATAATCAAGCAATTCTAAAGTTGAAAAACTGAAATAGTATTTTCTTGTGAAATGTACTCCAATAATCAATCAAACAAACAAATAAATAAATAATAATAATAATTATTATTGATATAGACCAACATTTTTATATTGGAGCTTTAGTGTAAAATAAAATGAAATAAATAGTTTAAAACTATCATAGCTATTAATCATAATATAAATAAAATGAGCAGCTATTGGTATTGTCGCCAGCATGAACAGGTTTGCATATTTTTAATGGTAATGTGTTTATGTGTGGTCAGCTTTACAAGTTTTCTTGTGTGTCCCACTGACCTCCTTAAACTTGTGTGCGAGTTTCTCTGGGTCCATCTCCACAGGAGAGAGCATGTCTTCATTCTCTGCCAGGTCAAACACCTCGATGGCATTAGGAAACATGGGGCTCATCTCTTCCTCTTCATCGGTGGCATATTCACCCGTCTGAACACGGACAAGAAATTGAGAAAGAACAAGAGATGGATATTGAAACATACTGTTTTTCAGTGCCTTTGAGATTTGTATATCTGACCGTAATCAATTTATGGATTTTGAAGCTCAAGACGTTTCTGCATGAGACGTCTGATAAGGTTTCTTGACTTAAATGACTTTGGGTATGTATTGGCTTGTGATCAGTGTGTTAGTAACGAGAGGGGCTTCTGTATTTACAAATGTATTTTTCTATCTCAGTGAGTCCAATTTGTCATTCTGTCTGGCTGCCCAAGTCCATGCATCGGTCTGATCTCCGCCATGTGGGTGAAGTAGCAGACAAACTGTCTGTTCCTGCACCTCTCAAACGTTAAGACAACATCAGACTGACGTGAGCTCAGTGTTGCGGAGGAGAACGTGCTGAGAGGGCACTGAGCTGGCAAATCTAGCCGCGAGACGCACTGCCATGGCATTCTGCCCTTACTTTCACACCCAAGATCTCCAAGAACACCGACTGCAAGAACTGTGAATCTTCAACATCTGAATTATTAATCAATTCCCCTCACGCCATGGCAATGTGGGCAGGTGTGGAGGACAATTATGAGACATGAATGTGTCAAAGCAATGCAGTGCTTTAAAACAGAGCTAATTATTGTGATTTTATGATTCTGAAAGAGTCTCGGTGAAGAAATGTTGACATCCTGTCTTCCACTGCATGCAAACAAAATCACTTTAATAACCCATCATTAAGGGGTACAGCTAGATTAATGCAATTAAATGGTTAAACAAAAACACATTTCTTTTAATATAACTTGATTTATAAGCTTTGAGCATTTTAAACATGTCATAAATGCATGTTTTGATGCATTGCCAAGAACAAGGTCAAGCATCATTCCCCCCATAAATCTGTCACATACTGAAGGGAAAATAATATTTTACAGATGGAAAAACATGCTGTTGCAGAGAACTAAATGTATATGATCATGGTCTCTGAAGAAAGCATTATCTGAAATTAGTCACTTGACTCTTCACCTCGCTTTCACCGTCTCGTCAGTTCTCCTGTTCAGTTTGTGTGCAATATTTGTGCGTCAAGTATTTCTTAACATGGAAGGTTTGTCCTTTCCACCCACATGATTTCTTTGTGAATATTAACTTGTACTGAATTAATCTGAATCAAAAGTGGTTGTTCAAAATTCAAGACAAAAACAAACTTGAGTCTTTTAAATCTAACTCATCCCAATACATCCCAAAGTGGAGAAAAGGACAGCAGCTGATGAGGCTGTGATGAAGACGGCCCTGTCTGTAAGAAAGCCGCTGACCCAGCTCTCATCTTCTCTGTGCCGTCAGCAAATGTTATGTAAAAGTATGACACACACACACACACTGACTAGGATTTCCAGTCTAACTTATGAAATCTGAGGTCAGTGGTGTAAAAAAGGAGTATGTAACGTATGCAATCCAGTGCCACTCAACTGGAGGCAAAATAATAGATTTTCTAGATGTTCTATATAATCTACAAAGAACAAAATATATATTTAACACAATAATGACAAAAAACACACAATTATTTTTATTTATATTTAAGCCTTATAAATATGCAAGCCTCAAAAGCTAAATACAGCTACTCTCAAGAAATCTGTCTGATCACCTGAAAAACACCTAGTGAATCAATGACATTGATAACACTTTCATCAGTGTACAGTGTCTGTCTGGGTGTGCATAAGAAAAGCTTGTGTCCACAGACAGGGAAAAGTCTATTTCACAGTCACTGGCAAAATATTTACTATAATATAATGAAATCTTTGCAATTAATAGGTTAAAAAATTCATGTGGTGGAGTGTTTGGGAAACATTAAAAAATGGGCTACATGATTAGGGGGAAAAATGTATTGTGATTTTTCTAATTAAGATTTTGTGATTTGAAATACGATAAAAAACAGGCTTGCTTTGCTTGTTTGTAGTCCTACACATTTCTGTAATTTTGTTATGAAAATGGCTGTAAAATAATAATAGTAATAATAATAATAACTAAATTAAAATACACAAATTACTAAATAAAAACAAAATATGAATATTGTCATATTCCACTGTAAAATAGGTATTTAAATAAGTATTTTATTTATTATTTTATTTCATTTTTAAACTACGACAGTAGAATTACAATACTAATATTTATGGCACTTTTTAACTTTTATTTTGATGGAAAACGGCAGGAAATCATTAAAGCTTCTATTTGGTAACAAAAAAACGCTTCTCATTACAAGTAATTTTTCAAGTAATGATTTCTGAAGGATCATGTGACACTGAAGACTGGAGAAATGGCTGCTGAGAATTCATCACAGGAATAAATTACATTTATATATGAAAAATATATTCAAATATAAATGAGTTATTTTAAATTCGATAATAATTCACAATATTTATGGCTGTCTTCATTTTTTTTATTTTTAATGGCTGGCACATGCTTCATTACCAAATGCATGTTACAGCGACCCAAACTCAGAGCAGATGCAGAGATGAGTCTGTGTGGAGCAGCATTTACTGCGAACCAAAGCTCTCTGAGATGCTACAAACACCAGCAGATCATGAGCTGCTCATGTGTAAATGAACACAGTGCTGCGCTTCACTGTGAAACACGCAGTGCTTATATTTATTTAATTAAATCCCATGTTACTTGTACTGAATCTGCATTAGTCGCAAATTGAAAAAGTTGTCTGTTAAGGGTACAATCGTGTATCTGAAGAAGCTTTACCTCTTCATCCTCTTCCATGTAGGGGTTGTAGCGCTGCTCCATCATTTCTTTCTGCCATCTCTCCTGTTCCAGTGTCTGCTGGATCAGCTGGGCCACTTCACTCTGTTCCCCCGGCTTCTCCCGGCCAATCACAAACCTGCAACACACAAACACCAGCCAATCAGATATAACCTAGTGAACCAGCTGTCATTCCTTAAGTGAGTTCTCTACTCTGATGATTTACAGGAAGGAAAAGACCTGCATTATGAAGCCTAAAAGGCTCAAAAACTTCATCACCATCCTGCTGTATGCCTTCAACGGCATCCAATTTAAAAGCAACTGATTGTCAGTTGCCTCTATGCTCAGGTATTCCACAAAAATAAAAGTTATTATTAAACATGTTCTCTCCCACTGGGCTTAAACCTCTTCTATTAATCACATTTTCCATTTCCCTGCACTACAATCAAGCACCATCCACGCCTAGCCAGAACAGCTTAAGAGAAAACAGGACGCAGATGCGTGAGCTTGTTTGAAATGCCACAACTACCCAATCCCTCATCTTGACTGTAGATACAACCACACAGGCCTTAGTTCTTTGTTAAATCAAAGTAACAGAAAGCAGCAATCTATTCGATACACAGCACTGTCAGGGCAATAGTGATAGTGAGTCAGTGAATATCTGATGCCAAATGAGACGACAGAAGATAATGCTGGATTATACAGAGGGAAATTAAATTCTAATACACTAAAACCTGAATTTTTGGTACAAAAACATGTGCAACAAAAGTTCAAAATGAAGCATTGGATCTCTGTGAACTCATTCACACCAACTAATACCGTATTGGCCCGAATATAAGATGACCCTGATTATATTTATATTATTTTTGTCATATATGTAATTCTATCACTCACACACACACACACATTACCATACAAGCCAATTAGCCCAATTATATATCGCTTTTTATTAATTTTTTTATTGTTTGGATACAGAAATACAGACATTTTTGCATTGGTCTAAATATTTTTTGAGTGAACATTTTATAATTTTATATTATTTTTGTCATATATGTAATTCTATCACTCACACACACACACACATTACCATACAAGCCAATTAGCTGCGTCACGCCGGATCTGTTTCCTATGTTGTTGTGATTTGATCTGAACGAAAACAGCGTATCCGGCGTGACGCAGCTGACACAGAATAGCATATGCTGTTTACGTCCAGCTGATACTCTCCAAAATAGCGGTAGGGTAGAGGAGGAGACGAATTGTTGATTAAAGTCGTTTTTTTCTTTTCTCGTAGCTTCGTATAATTACGGTTGAACCCCTGATGTCACATGGATTATTTTACCGATCTCCTTGCTACGTTTCTAGACTTGGGAACATTTCAGTTGCGTTGCTGTCTATGGAGGGTCAGACAGCTCTCAGATTCCATCAAAAATATATTAATTTGTGTTCTGAAGATGAACGAAGGTCTTACGGGTTTGAAACGACATGAGGGTGAGTAATTAATTTTTGGGTGAACTATCCCTTTAAATTTGATACTAATTCACAAAATTACTGTTATGACTGTATTTTAGAATAAATAAGTAAATAGACTTTTCAAAAATATATATAAAAAACCCCAATCTTATAATATAATATATAGGACCTTGACCTGTGAGATTTTAAAGGGGTCATGAACTGCCTTTTTTTGTACTGTTCTCTGGGGTCCACTTATAATGTTATCAAGAGTTTTATATAAAAAAACATCATAATTTAGAAGTAACAGGCTATTTTCTGTGCTGTTTTGACCCCCCTCATCAAAACGCTCTGTACAGGCATGGCGGATTGTAGAGTCAGAAGTAAACACCCAGTGCTATGATTGGCTAATAGTTGTGTGTTTGACAGACAACGTCCTTCACAGATGGACACTGCTGTGATTTAGGTTAAAAACGCATGAATACTCATATCAAACGATCTGTTTAACAGACAAAGCAATAGTGTAAAAACAGTTACTGATAATTCAATCGTTCTGCAAATCCTGCATCGAATTGTTCCTTGTTTGTAAACAAATCCGTGGAAAAATTAATTGAACAAAGGACCAAGTTCTAACTCACGTGGTGAGTAATACAAGCTGTTTTTAGACTAATGAGAAAGTTTTGAGTTCTGAAACTTACAGGATGTTTTTATAGTACAGTGACCTCTTATATGTCAAAAGATCAAGGGAATTTTGATTTCCCTTTAAATGAAGTCTCTATGAAATTGTTGTTTCATTTCCTTACTTGACAGTGCCGCTGGTGTTCCTGAGGACCGATGCAGCAAAATTTTGGGTCACGCCCACCAGGCTGGTTCCGTCCACCTCCACGATCAGGTCATTCACCTGGATCCTGCCAAGAAGAAAAATAACCAGGATAACAGCTCAGGGAGGAAAAGTTAATCTGCAAAATGGCTGCTAGATCTTGGGCCAAGATACTGATCAATCTCATCATTATACGTGTAAAGATACTAACAACGCCAAAGGAGTCATTTATTGGGTCTGAAAACTGACCAACAGCAGCAGTGAATCAGTGCCTCATTTAACTAAACCTCTTCTTGTATTCCAAGCCGTTCAAATGATCGATCGATCCTCTCAGTCATAAAACAAGTCAAACTATCCAGCCCCATCCAAAACAGCCTTTTTGCCAAGGCAGATGTATGTTTGATAGACAGCAGGAGCACCAACGAGGTGCCAGAGAGTGAGGATGAGGTCATTTCTGAGCGCTAAAGTCTGTCCCACTCAATATCTAAGCACTTCTGTCACACATGTGGCGACAGCTCATTTCAGCATTGGCTTATTAGATTTTTTTTGTCTCCTGTGGCTTCCAGGTGGACTGTTTCTAACCGTCATGCCAAAATGAGGAAGAAGCCACTGCAATGCACCATACTGACTCAAGGCCGGAGAGAAATAACTAATGTTATGAGTTTTTATTAAGATCCCTAACACTCGCTGAATCTCCTGGGATCTAAATGAACGTCATAAGCAAAAGTGGGCTTCTCCAAGCAGAATTGCTGTTATTTTTCGAAGCTCTTGAGCTTGGCAGACAGAAATAGCTTCTCTATGACCTCCATGACTCACTCCAGGGCCTGAAGAGCTCAAATGCCATTGCAAGGTCAGATTCTACTCATTATAGATCAATAAACTCCATTCCTCTATCAATGCACATATGTTTTGAGTAATACTCGGTCAAGTGTAACTCCAGATACACTTCTGTTTCATAAATAACAGAACCATGGACACTATTCATTCTGACAAAAGCTTAAATGTGGTCTCATATCAGTCTCACAGTTTCCACTGCATGTCTGGTGATTCCTCTGTGACTTTGGTATTTAATCCATTTTGCAGACTGATGAAAGTCTGGTAGTACAGACTGACAGAAGGTAAAGGAATGCTTTTCACTCTCATTTTCACTCAAATCCATATAAATCCCACTCATGTCCTGTAATTCACTGACCTTTCGTCTCGGTGGGCGGCTCCTCCTTCCGTCACTGTTTTGACGAAGATTCCCAGTTTTTCCAGGCCCATGTCTGCGCCGGCACCCATCCCGATGATGCTGATTCCCAATCCGTCTTTATCTGACAGGAAGGAATCATGGTGTTAATAACAGTTCACACAATTAGTTAACACTTCTCGTAAACAAACACAACATTAAGCATTAGTGCGCATAAGTACAAGCAGGATTTCAGATCTATGGCATTTTTTAGTAAATACCATTTAAATTTCAGTATGCTCTTCATGCAAAGTCATCGTACAGCTTCAGAAGACGTGGGATATAGCGTCAGATAGAGATAGAGAGATAACTGATAGAGCTGCATCAACTGCATTAGTGATGCTTTATGGTGCTCTTTGGAGCTTGACAGCCCCTGCTCACTATACTTTCATTATGCGGAAAAGAGCAGCGTGAACATTCGTCAAAATGCCTCTTTTTGTGTTATACATGTATAAACAATGACATGTATAAATAATAGTGAATAAATGATGAAAGAAATCTTTAAAACCAGGATAAAACTTTTTAACCAGGAAGAAATTAAGTCTATACACTGTAATACTATGGAAATGACTGATTCGGTTATTTACCCATTTGATCAATATAACAAAACTTTCTTTAAATCAGTGTTGTTAATGTTAATTAAAACACTAAAACATTATTAATATTAATAATTTAATAATTAAACATTATTAAACATAATTAAATAGCAATTAAAATACAATTCAAAATTAAATTAAATTAAAATAAAGGTGAAATAAAATAAAATATTAAATATATATATAAATTTAAAATAAATAAATAAATAAATTAGATGAAAACCTTAAAGTAAAAAAAAAAAACTTGCGCAAATTAGAAATGTTGCCTTGACAATTTGTTTGCACTGAAGTACTACAGCTGCTAAATCCAAAATCCAAATAAATTAAATCTATATGGAAATATATAAACTAAACAAAAATGTAAAAAAAACATAATAAAATGACTAAAACTAAACTTTGAAATTAAAACCAAAAATATACAAATAAAAGTTAATTCAAAAGATTAATAAATACAAAAAAAAATAACAGCTTAAAATTGTAAATGCAAACTTCAAAGAGCTTTAAGGCTTTTAGACGCAATATCTAAATATTGGGATAATGAGCTGGAATTAGTGTGACTAATCCTATGACTGTAAATCATTTGAGCAGATTTTAAGATTATAATTAGTTGGCAATTATAAATACATTTTACTCCAAATAATCCTCTTGAAAATATATTATTCCTAATGACTTCTTTTTTTGTCCAGATTGGTTGTAACTTAAAATATTACCATTGCAATATAAAAACTACACAGCTGAACACACCTCTTCTATGTCTATGCTGTGATATTTCACATATGGTAGTTATGGTAACCGCCAGACTGCTTTAGGAGAGAGGGCCTGACCCCTCACGATTTTCTAATCAGCAAAAGCTGCTTACTTTACAGAGCAAAACAAGCTGCTTCAGTCAGTTTGTTTAGAAACAGGACGTTAAGGACCCCTAAGACAACATACCACACAGGCTCTAAAAACACACACGGTTTAGTCAGGAAAACTCCATCGGCGGGTCGAGTACCTTTCTCCAACTCGACGGGGAAAAGGTCCAGTCTCTCCACCCTCTTCTCCAGTTCATACTCGGCCGAAGCCGCCATGGGGTCAACCTCATCATTACGCCTGTCGTAGTCCTCGTTCGAGTATGTGGTGAACACCTGGGAAAACAAAGTCAAAGTTTAATGTACAGAGTACTGTATAATGTAATGTATTTGTGCTTTTCTATGCAAGAGACGCAGTAAGTCATCCACACTGGGAGTAACAGAGCAGGTGACAATCACTGTAAGAATTATGAATTAATTAACACTGGCTGTCAGGAGACTTGGGTTCAGATACAGTTAGTCACCATGACAGGGTCTAGGCCTATATCGTTTCCTAACCTGGATTAAATTCAAGCTGCATATTGGTACAAATTGTTTCACTGAGCAACAACAGATGGAATACAAGTGGACTTCAATGGCAGCCAATGGGTTGAAGGTCCAAACTGCAGTTTCAGTGCAGCTTCAAAGGGCTCTACGTGATCTCAGCCGAGGAATAAGGGTCTTATCTAGAGCAACGATCGGTCATATTCTAAAAAAAAAACAAAAAAAAAACATTTATAAACTTTTTAACCACAAATGCTCATCTTGTACTATCTCTACGATGTGCGTCCGTGACTTCACGCATTACGCAATCATGTTAAAAAAGTCATGCGCGGTTAGTTCTTCGTCTGTGTACTTTGGTTCAAAAAGTTAGGGTAGGGTAGCAAAATACTCCATCTCATTTTCTCATCCAAATTCGAATTCATCTGACATCGTTACCTTACCTTTACCTTTTTTTGTAAAGGCCGTTTGACTTTCTTTGCACATTCGCACTGTAAACACTGGGTCGGTACTTCCGCCAACGTCACACATGACCTTTCCAACGTGATTACGTAATGTGTGAGGTCGAGCTAGTGCAAGACGAGAGTTTGTGGTTATAAAAATATATACATTTTACTTTTTTGTAGGAAATGACCGATCATTTGGCTAGATAGTACCCTTATTCCTCGGCTGGGATCGTGTAGAGCCCTTTGAAGCTGCATTGAAACTGCAGTTTGTACCTTCAACCCGTTGATCCCCATTGAAGTCCACTATATGAAAAAAAATCCTGGAATGTTTCCCTCAAAAACCTTAATTTCTTTTTGACTGAAGAAAGAAAGACATGAACATCTTGGATGACATGGGGGTAAATTATCAGGGCATTTTTATTCTGGAAGTGAACTAGTCCTTTAAACCTGTAGCTGACATGGATTTAATGCATGTCACTTTAAAAGCACAGATTGATAAGAAACAAGATTGAAGATCTTGTAAAATTGTAGTTTAAAACACATGTGCCAAGTTCTTAGAAATGTTGGTTTCACATGGACTTGAAAAAATGTACACCATTTTCAAGAAATTATTATATATTTATGATAATACAATTAGAAATAACAAAATATAATAAAAACAATGAATCAAAAAAAAAAATCATAAAACATTTTAAAATATTTCGAAGCTAAAAAGTTAATTATTCAAAAATATTGTTCAATTTTTGAGGAGTCACATTATGTGACATTTCAAAGCTGAAATATCGTTGCCTTGTCATAAAAAAGGCCAAATTATCTGATATTATCTGAATTTGATGTCATGATGGCATGCTGGGGTCAAAAATGTAGCGTGTGCAGTCTCATTTAATTACTTTAAGTCCTCAAAAATAAAATTAACTAAGTAAATAAATAAGTAACAAAAACAATTGTTTTATCAGAATACACAACTATTTGAATGGCTATCAATGAAGAAAGAAGCTTTCTGGGTCCAGATGGTGCAGTTATGACATCTACCAGCAGGCGCTAACTGGGCCATGCTACTCTAACACGCCAAACAATGTCAGACAGATGGAGTGTATGGTACAGTTAGTGGAAATTACACACCTTTGGGAAAACAGCCCAGAGCTTAAGTCATCTTCGTCAGTGAAGATTTTTTTTCTAACAGTGCAGCTAAAGCAGCAGTTTATACAGATACAGTCATGCATCATGTTCTCCGTCAGAGAGACCGGGGCCTGAAACTGCACCAGTATATGGGTGTATCACTGTGGGTTCATTTATAATAGTTGAGAACTACAACGGTTAGCCGGAAAAAGAGTGCCATGCTATATAAAGAAGCACAGTTTACCCATGAGTCTTTAGACAGCACTTGTGTGGTAACAGCTTCCTGTTTAGGGTCATCTTTGATCTAAATATTTTTTCTTTCTTTCTAAAGCCCATGTTATAAGCACTGAGGGCATAGTAGCAAAATACAGGAAGCCACTCTTTCCATTTGACGCTACCAAGTGAGTGCTGACAAGTGACAAGCGAAAGAGTTGCTTGAATTATTCATTCAACAGATTTGTTCAAAAACATAGACTAATTTGGGAATAAAACAAGAACTGTCTTGGTGAGTGAATCATTGAAACATTCACTCAACCCAATCGTTCAGCAGATTTGTTCAAAAATATTGAAAGATTCTGTGCTTATATACGGCCAAATCACAGCCATCTTTCTCGTATATTACTTCAATATGAATATTAAAGTAATATCATGTGATTAATTAAATTGACTACAAATTAATTTGTAGTGGTTTGCACTACAAACCAGTGTGTTCAACGTCACTTCCTGTTTGTTGCTGCTGTGTGTTTTGAGTTTGAGCTCCGTCAAGTTAATTCTTTATCGTCTATTTTTTATCTTAAAATCAATTTTATACACCATTATTTTCGTTTCTATAACGCGTGAATATATCCCCTATCGTATTCTACAACAAAAACAATCAGAGCGCCTTGTTTTCACTAGTTCTATTTTAATTTCCCGAGTCCACTATTAGCATATAGCCCGTTAGCATCGCCAGCGTGGTTGCCACTAATCTCGCTTACATTACTAATACTCTATTCACACACATTACCATTGTTTTACTCACTGTTACTTGCTTTAATGGCGGATGTGTGTCTACCTTTGAGTGCAGGTGAGGACACGTTCGAGCTGCATTCGGTGCAGCTCGAGCTGGAGGCCATGGAGAAGCAGATCCGCGACCTGGTGGAGAGGCAGACCCAGCTGAGAGAGCGGAGAGCCGCGCTGGAATCATCCCAGGCTGACATTCACAAGTCCGAGGTAAGTATACAGCCCGCTGCTAACTCTCCTACCACCTCTACTCCGTGTGTTTCTCTGCACAGGCCTGGTGCACCCAGGACGCGATCTTCCCAGATGTCCTTTACTCCGGCGCCGGGACACCACAGATCCTGGGTGCACCCGCCACGGAAGACGCGAGCCAGGCCCCGGGCGACCAACTCCTTTTGGACAACATCTCCAGGATGCTACGCACCATATGACTAGTAAATCAAATCTCAAATAACTGCCCTGATGACTTTTATTCTACCCGCTTAAATGATAGAAGTACTTGTGCTATACAATCTATAAAGACTGTGTCTGTTCCCCGAATAGTGAGGTCAAAATATTAATTTAATGCAGGATCTAGAAAAATCTGATCGTGATTAAACCAGAAAAATGTAAAATAAAAGAACAAATTTTTTTTTTTAAGTTTGGGCTCCTAAACATTAGATCAGTCGCACCCAAAGCAGCTATTGTAAATGAAATGATCAAAGATAATATTTTTGATGTACTCTGCTTGACTGAAACCTGGCTAAAACCAAATTATTATATTGGTCTAAATGAGTCTACTCCACCAAGCTACTGTTATAAGCATGAGCCCCGTCAGACTGGTCGTGGCGGCGGAGTTGCAACAATACATAGTGACATTCTCAATGTTACTCAGAAGACAGGATACAGGTTTAACTCATTCGAAATACTTCTGCTTAAAGGTCCCATATTGTCAAAACTGAAATATCCTGGCTTTTTCATGATTACTGAGGTCTAGGGGCTATTTAACTACCATATATGTTTCAAAACAGTCAGTCCACAGTAAAATTCACACAGCCTGCTTAAAGTTCTAGCTATTTTTCACGAACCGTTGTGACATCCGTAAAAAGTTGACGTCAGAACTACACAGTCACTGCCTTCAGTCACCACCCGAGCACCGCCCACAGTCCCACTCTCCTTTTGCCATGCTTTTGCTGAGCAAGGACAACACGGAAACATGTCGAAAAGGTTAACTTTAACCACGAAACCAGATCGGGTGACCTGTAACGTTACACGTTATACTCAAAGGATGGACGATCTGACAGGATTGTTACTATGAGGTGAATCACATCTGACGTGTATAGTAAAGACAAACTCACCGTGTCTATCTAGTCATGATGAAGATATATATACATATATTTAAATTTCAGCAGGCAACTATTTTTACAGCTACACTATTCTTCCAGCCACAATTAATCACAACAATGTATTTACAATTACAAATAATTATATATAAATCGTCAATTTGTTGTTTTACACACATGCACACAGACATTATTTCATACACGACATAGTCGTGAGATGCAAGAAACATAGACATATGGCAAGAAATCTGTAGACGCGCCCATAACAACAAAAGACAATACTTTATTGAACCTTTTCTGATAAGTGTGCACTGCAAACG